ATTATTAAACACTCAATACTTTTGGGGCCTCTTTAAAGAGGCTCCCAGCCAGTCCCAGGCTGAATGTTGTGTTTTATTCATCATTCTCATATTTTCTTTGTGGAGACTTTTTAGTCTCTAACAGGAGTTCAGCTGGGGTTCTTTGGGATCTTGTTTACAAGATCCCAAAGAAAAAGATAAAAGTATATTTTGTTTTAACCCCAAAACCAAAAAATCACAGAGCAAAAACGATCACAGAAATTTGACTAAATCCGATGAAATCTCGCGCTAGACTGACTGTGATTCAATTAAAATGGTGTCGTCAATCTGTTGCAGGTGAATATTCTGGAACATTCCTGAGAATTCCTGAAAGTAATCCAATCTTGTATTACAGGTGTTACCAAATTATTCCGCCACAGCATTCCATCGTGCAGTAAATTTGTGTACCACCTAAACTAATCATCCAAAGGTTTCAAAATTTTCAACAATTTTCAACTTCATCAGATACTGAAATCGGCGTTGCAGCAATAAAAATAAAATTAGTGACTTGTCTCTCAAGGTAGGATTTTACTGCTTCAACAGTTTTCATGATTTCAGGCGTGATATCCTATTTTGGAAAAATGTATGTATCAAAAACATATGGTCAAGAATTTTTTTTAATACTCATCTCATAAAGGCACTATAGAAATTTTGATTTTGATTTTTTTTTAAATAATTATAAATACACAAAGAAATTCTCAATGCAAATAGTTTTTTTCAGGGTTTTTTTTCAGCAATAGGCGCCGACAAATAAAAATGATTTTCATTCACGTTGCTCAGCAGATGACGCACCTTGAAAACTGTAAAATATACGGAAATCCGGTGCAACCCCTTCCTCGCCGATTTCCAGCGAAAAATTTGAATGCAAAATAAAAGGGCGTTTCTTTCGGAAAAACAAACCCATTTCGTCAGACGTGGCTGCGATTCCCAAAGGCGTGAAAGCGCTGAGTGGGAATCGACAGGCAAGTGCGAAGGCCTGACAAAGCCGTCATCGACGGTGTCAACGACACGACGGACGGGCGTCACATGCGACGCGCACCTGTTTCACGGGATCAGGTTCGTTGGCAGGAGCTGAGATCTTTGACGGATTACCACTCGGGATTATCAGTCTTTAAAATTCCCTTTTCGCTTCAAGCGGTTCGAACTGAGTGTGGGAGGACAAATCCTTGACGCAGCTGCATTCCGACTGTCTGATTCACATCTCGAATGTTTTTGTTTATTTATTCCTTGCAAGGAGAGTAATTTTTTTATTTTCGGGATTACTCGAGCTTCTGGTTCTTAATTGTGTTGATAGTAATGGACAAAAAATGTAAAATGCATCTCATTATTGGAGAATCTTGGGTATTTCTAGAAGCATAGTATTTTTTCAAGTCCGCCAACGCTTTCTGGAAAGAAAAATCAAAATCCTTCGGAAATAATTCAGCAAGAACACCACCTTGGGTAACTGTGTAATAATTTTAATTGAATTTTGAAAATAGTCTTTTCATCGAAAAATCTAACGTTACTGAGTAAAAACAGTCCTCCAGAAGGTCATCATACTTTTCACAAATCAATGTAACGCAAAAGAAAGGTGTGCGATGCTCTTGAAATTAAGTGTATCGGAAAATTATAAAAATTTCCCTGCTTCATGGGGAAACCTGTGTAATTGGAGAATTTTTCAAATTTCAGGCATTTTGATTCTTGAAAAAAGAAATCACATTCCAAGTGATCGAATGTCGTTCCAGAAAATGCCATCTTTTTTTCAAATATCTTGATGAAAAATCAAGGCTCTCAATAAAACCCACTATTTTACAACAAGATGAGGTACTGAATGCAGTTTTTCTCGATGATGCGACGGATTTGTAGCATTTCCAATTTATGTACATATCGTTTAAAAAAAACCTTCGCTGATGAGCAAGTTTGCTGTAAATAAGAAAATAATGAAATTTCATCCCGTTCTCATCCCTCATTTCATTCCTTTTCTTTTTGGGGAAAGTTAAATTGTGTATCGTGTTTCACTCACCGCAAGACGTTTAAATAATTCACTTTTGCAAATACGTGACGTGAGGGAATTTCAGGTTCCTTATTGTCACTTTCTTTCAGTGGTTAAAATTCTCTTTTCCTCATCCGTTCGCGGAACTTTGAGTACCTTTTACTCCCTTTTTTTCGGCAAGAAATATTGGATCCATTTTGACGCAGTTATTTTTCGTATCGTACTTATAGAATTAGTGAAAATGTTTATCAACAAGAATATTTTTGATGAGGTTGGGTTGAGACTAGAAAAGTCCAGGTTCAGTTAAAGATCTGCGCTGATTTCAGTTATTAACTTTTTGATCTCGAGGTTTCAGCAGCTACATCAATGAGTGAAGCTTGGTCTGATTTCAGCTAACTGAGTAATGTCATCTTTTAATATATGCACTGCAGTTGTAACACGTAGACGTCAAAGAAAAGAGAGCTGAAATTCCTGTAACACAGACTTCTTAAGTAACCTTTCACCAATGAAGAATGTTTCTAAAATTTTGAGGACGTAAGGGATTAAATTACATTTCAACCAAGAGAAATGAAGCTTGCAATTTAGCATTTTTTATCTAGTATGCAAAAAATATAGTCGAACCTCTCTAAGTCGAACTTCATAAGACCCAGAAAAAAATTAAACTTTGGGAGGTTTGGAAATGGGGAGGTTTTTAGGTAGGGAAACAGTATTTTTGTTGAAACTGGAAAGAATGGAAGAATTGCCAGAAATTGTAATTGGTAATATTCTGGGCCTTAAAGTGCTTCTTAAATGAGTTGACAAGATGCTGAACTTGGATGCAAGGGTTAATTTGCTTTATTAGTCTTTCAATTCCTTTCATAACACCTAATGTAAGATTTATATTTATTTTCTTTTTCCGGTGTGAAGACAATATTTGTCAAAAGGCCTCAACAAATTCAGGTTAGGGAGGTTTGAGAGGATGAAAAGCATTTGACTTAGAGAGGTTTTTAATGCATTATTTCCAAGGGCATTCAGATAGTAATATAAAAAGTCGATATACGGAAGTATTTGACTTACAGAGGTTTTAATTATAAAGGTTCAACTGTTCATCTTCTTTTGTTGCAAGGAATACGAAGTTGTGGGCAATCCTTCGTTTGGTTAAATGCTATGATCGAAAAAATAAACCGTTCAAACGAATTTTTTCTGAAAATTACGGAAATCTGCGTGATCTGCTTTCCTTCATTCAATCCATTCTAGATTCTTGAATTGGAAACAATATTCATAGTTGCTCAGGTTGCATGGTCAAGAAACAATTACTATTCTCGAAATAATTGAAAATTTGAAAATCGAAAAAATTGGAAATTTTTTAATGAACTTCTAACCAGAAAGCTACCTTCCAGGATTTAGAATGAAGTCCAGAATTTACAAGTTCTGTGGACATCCTGATTCTTGCTGTTAAAATACATTCTTCGTATTTTATCTTTGTCCGGTGTGCTAACAAGCTAACCCATCATTAATTGAGAAAAAAATTACCGAAGATAAACTTTGATCAAGAGATTTTTTCAGCTATTGAAATAGCTGAACTTGAACTTATACATGGGAATCCCAAAAAGGAAACTCCAAAACGGCAAATTTTCCATTTAGAGGAACGCATCATGAAGAAAGCCGAACGCACTTGTTCTCTTCATCAATTAGTGGCGAATGTTAATTTATTCCTGAAGAAACAACCAAACGATACCAATTTTTAATTCGAGAAATTCGCACGTTTATTTTCCAGTAATTGATAATATATTGGATTAATTTTCCTGTGATGCCCAACCCAAAACGAGGCACGTTTTCCAGGGCACGAAAATTCTCCACACAAAAAAAAGAAGCCAAGCACGACCCATTTTCTTCGTTGACATCCTTGAAATAATCCTCATTCTTGAAAATTCAGTTTGACTTGTGTAGAAAATATTTTTTCGTAGCCAAATAATCCGCTTAAACTTTTATTGTAGAAATGAATGAAGAAATGTTTCTAGCAGTTGAAAAAAAAATCCTGAGTGTAAAAATGCACACCAACTGTTTGACGAGTCCAACATATTTTTGACACCATTTTTCAATTTATGCACGGCTCGTTTTTGCTGAAGAAAAAATAAGTCGTCTCAATCGTTAGGCATGCATGCTGTGTACATTAACGTACTCTAAAATAATTCCTGGAAGTAAAAGTATTCCCCCTCCTCAAAATTGCGGTGCGCACCCCAGAATCCTGGACAACAACTTTTCCTATTCTGATTCTAAAGTAAAACCTTGTGAAGGTTAATTATTGATTGTCATATATAAGGAGCACTTTTCATATATCATCAGATGCAGTTCAATGGTGTTATTCAAATTATCCTCATTATTCCTGCAAGTCAAGCTCATTGAGTTGTTTATTTGTTTATACTTGTGTGAAATACAGTTTATCTCTCTAACATAGGAATTCCAAAATGGAATCCCAGTCCTGTCCCAGACTGATCAACTTGTTTTAGTGTTTATCAATTAAATACTTGACATCAAATTATATTGAGGCTTTTGTGCCCAATATAAATCAGATGAAATGTAAAAAATTCTCTCATCAGAACAGAATCTCATGCATTTTCTTCGTTCAAAGTGTTCAACAACAAAAAGCACACAACTGACATCCTGCCACAGCAGTGTTCGTTCATCATCACAGTTCAAAAAACCACAAGTGGGCCCCCAGCCATCGAATTGACTACACGAAACAAACGGGGACGCATACATACGGACTACAATAACAATCAAAATCGAATGAAAAATGTAAAGCTTATTTTGTCCCCCATTTTGCTCTCGGAGCAAAACACACACACACACACAAAAATAATAATAATATTAATATAGAAACAAAACAAAAAAATCTTGGTGGCGGGGAAATTCCTCTCATCAGACCCCCAGGATGTAGAATACGAAGACGAAGACGATCCATGTACACAGAGCTCCGAATGCGAGGTAACGCAGGAGCACTTGACACTTGTTCTTTTCAAAGCAGCGCAACACCAGCAGTCCTATGAAGAACCCTGCTGCAGCTCCTCCAACGTGAGCAGCGTAGGAGACTGGAACTGCTGCTTGAGAGAGGCTGAAGTATCTGTGGTAGACTGCAAACCCAATATCCGTAGCAGCTGCAAAACAAACAAAAAAGAGGCAAAATAATTATAAATCTGTTTTTTTTTTAATTCGACGCTTTTGACATTTTTTCGACATTTAAAGTTGTTTTTTTCTAGACAACTCTGCCTTTCTAAATAGTTTTCAGAACCTGAATTCAATGACCTGAACAAAGGTTGATTTTTTTTCGGAAGATTTTATAAGATACTCTGTGTGCATACTAATTTATATGGCCTTTTGAATTTTCTTATACTGGCTATTTTATATAGTCAGTCCTCAATTTCGCTTGACGGCAAACCCAATATCCGTAGCAGCTGCAAAAATAATCATAAATCTGTTTTTTTATTCGACGCTTTTGACATTTTTTGACACTTGACGTTGTTTTCTTTTTCTAGACAACTCTGCCTTCCTAAATAGTTTTCAGAACCTGAATTCAATGCACTGAACAAAAGTTGATTTTTTCTGAAGATTTTATAAGATACTGTATATGTGCATACTACTTTAAATGGCCTTTTGTATTTTTTTATACTGGTTATTTTATATAGTAAGTCCTCAATTTCGTTTGACGGCAAACTCAACATCCGTCGCAGCTGCAAAAAAGGGCAAAATAATCACGAATCTGTTTTTATTTTAGAAGCTTTTGACAATTTTTCGAAAGTATAAGTTGTTCTTAGAAAACTCAGCCTTACTAAAATTTTTTTAAACCCTGCCTTCGATGTACAAAGGTTGATTTTTCAGAAGATTTTATGAGATATGTGCATATAGGGCCCTTTGCATTTTAATTTTTTACATTGGCTATATGCATTAGTTAGTCCCCAATTTAGTTTTACTGACAGCAAACCCAACATCCGTCACAGCTGCAGAAAAAAAAGAGGCAATATAATCATGAATCTGCTTTTTATTCGACGCTTTTGACATTCTTTTTCGACATTTAAAATTTTCTTTAGACAACTCAGCCATACTAAAAAGTTTTCAGAACCTGAATTCGTTGCACAGTACAAAGGTTGATTTTTTCTGAAAATCTTATTAGATATGAGCAGAATACTATATGCCCTCCTGCATTTTCTTTCATACTGTACTGGCTTTTTTTTTAAAATAAATAATCAGTCCCCAATTTCGTTTGACGGCAAACTAAACATCCGTCGCAGCTACAAAAAAGGGCATCACGAATCCATATTTTCGAAGCTTTTGACAATATATTTCAAGTTGTTCTTATCGAGACTAAAATACTAAAAAAAATTAAAACCCTGCCTTCGATGTACTAAGGTTGATTTTTCTGAAGATCTTATAAAATACTGTACATTGCTTGGGTGTTAAAAATGTAAAAATGATTCACGTCTACTCACCAATGACGACGATCCCAACGATCCTGACAATTCCGTGCTCCATGCTCGAAAAATTCTGCAGAGAACAAATAATAAAACCAATTAGTCAGTATTTTTGAAGATGTCCTCAGTTTCTCAATCGAACTCACTAGAACAACATTGGCGAGGTGAGATGCAAGCAAGGCATAAATTCCGCCGGACGCACCGACCAAGTAAACGTCTGGGTCAAAAATCGATGTCGCAATCGATCCTAAAATTTGAAAAAAAAAACGTTAAAACGTTATAAAATGCGGACCTTATGTCAGCTTCACGAATTATTGATCAAGATACAGGAAATTGATTTCTCACCAGCCAGAACCCCGCTTAAATACACCGCACAAACGCGGAGACTCCCATGAACCATTTCCAACGGGAGTCCAACCAGTATTTGGACCACTGAGTTGAAAAGCAAGTGTATCCATCTGTAAAGAGAAAAAAAAAACAATAAAAATATTACGTCTTGAAACTCTTGAAATTCGTTGTTGTGTATACCATAAAATACGAAGGATCAATTTTCAACACTCGGCATCACATTCCCCTCGAGTCCAGCGATACATTTGAACAAAAAGCAACAAGAAAGTGAGTTCATAAAAACGTGGTAAAATGAATCACGTCTACTCACCAATGACGACGATCCCAACGATCCTGACAATTCCGTGCTCCATGCTCGAAAAATTCTGCAGAGAACAAATAATAAAACCAATTAGTCAGTATTTTTGAAAATGTCCTCAGTTTCTCAATCGAACTCACAAGAACAACATTGGCGAGGTGAGATGCTAGCAAGGCATAAATTCCGCCGGACGCACCGACCAAGTAAACGTCAGGGTCAAAAATCGATGTCGCAATCGATCCTAAAATTTAAAAAAAAAACGTGTAAACGTTATAAAATGCGGACCTTATGTCAGCTTCACGAATTATTGATCAAGATACATCAAGATACAGGAAATTGATTTCTCACCAGCCAGAACCCCGCTTAAATACACCGCACAAACGCGGAGACTCCCATGAACCATTTCCAACGGGAGTCCGACCAGTATTTGGACCACTGAGTTGAAAAGCAAGTGTATCCATCTGCAAAGAAAAAATAATAATAAAAATATTACGTCTTGAAACTCTTGAAATTCGTTGTTGTGTATACCATAAAATACGAAGGATCAATTTTCAACACTCGGCATCACATTCCCCTCGAGTCCAGCGATACATTTGAACAAAAAGCGCTTTTGTGGCGTTTGAGTTCGAGAAACAGTACAGTACTGAATTTTTTCGAAGGCTTTGTTCGAGGGCATTAAATGCATCTTATCAAGTCGCCCTCGACGAGCTTTCTCAGGCAGGGAATCCTTGGAAAAGCTTCCAAGTCACGTTTTCAAACACTGAGAACGCCTTGTTGACTCCGTGAAGAAGAAGAAGAAAAAAAAAGAAGAGGCGTTTGAAACAAACACGGAGCCGAACTTGTTCGACAGGGTGTGACAACAATAAGAAGTCGAAACATCCCGCAAATGTGGGGACGCATAGTCGTAGAAACACGCAATGAAGCGAAAGGAATGGACTCTAAGGAGATGGGAGAATTAAAAAAAGCATTGGGAAGGTCCAAAAGTTCTCGGAAAAATTGTAAAGTATCTCATTGTATCATCTGCATGCCGACGATGAATGTGACGAAATATTTTTCACAGATTTCCAAAAAAATAAAAATGCGCTCCTCGAATCGGATGCCATTCAAAATATAGTTTCCCAAAATAATTTCAGTGGATTGAATCGATGCACAGCGAAAAAATTGTCGAATTCGAAATTGTGACGAAACCATCTCAGCCAGTTCTAAAAGATGGGACTAAATTGCAAAAAATATATTTTCACAAAATAATATAAGTACAGTACATTTATTCAAAGTTCTGCACTGTATTCCAAAATATATTAAACATAGAAAACATTCCGTATTTAACAATGATTAATATTGAGTTCTGATTAATAATTCCACTATTGGGTGGGATTTAAATTCCATTGTTTTAGTTCTTAATTTTGAATGTGGCCAGACGTCTTCAACAGTTGAACGGAATCCTTAGAATCACTCAGATTCGCGAAAAATTTCAAAATCGAGATAATTCGTCGCTTCTTTGTCCTGTTGATTGATAATTCCACTTGGGTGGAATTTAAATTTCATTGTGTAGAGAAAATTACTATGATGTGAATATAATTCGCAAATAAAAGGTACTTGGAAAATTTAAAAAGCCTTCAGACAATGTAAATGGACGACTCTGGCCTCTCTCTATCATTTTTTCCATTAAAAGTCGCGTTGAAAAAACTAAACTAAACTTGCTTTGACCAAAGGTCACCAAAATGCAGATTTGGCTGAGCCGTCAAAGTTGGGAAACATCCAGGAAAGTGATAACCATTGTTTTCATAATCCCGTAATGGTAATTCTACAGCAGGAATGTAAAAAAAAATCCAACCCACAGTAACTAAAATTTTCAAATGAAAATTTTTTGTTAGGAATGCTAAAAAATAAATCTGGACAATTTTTCTGACTTTGGCTCTTGCTAAGCGTTTCATTCTATTTTATTTTATTTTTGCCTTTGGCACGAAATTGTGCAAATATATCCTGACAGAGCTGCCCATCAAGGGGTTAAAAAGTGTATCATTGGTTCCAGCATTTTCCCCGGGTATTTTACGGACATCCCCACGACGACGTGATATGGATAACAAGAAGATGTGGGGGGAGAGGAAAAGAAGAAAAGAGAACTTACCCAGTGTGCAGAACCATGTAGAGCAGGAATCTCCATACTTGGCCGCGTTTATCCGGCCGGTAGATGAACACCGAGTCCATCGGCACGGGTTCGTCGTCCGACAGCGTTTCGCTCTGGTCGTCATCCGTCACGGAGTAATAGACGAACACCGCCAACTGAAAACGAAGCGAGAATAAAGAAAAATGTGAGATTCAAAAAATAAAAAAAAATTAAAAATAATGACCATTGCATAAGCATTTCAATCGAACAAAATTATATTTTGAATTCGAGTTCAGCGGAGGCTTCAAAACATAAAAAGACATACATCCCTTTCGAAAAGGCATCCGATTTTTTTAAACATCAAAGAAAACCCACATCTATTTTTCCAGAAATTTACAAAGGATTCCAAGAAAGCCATCGAAGCTCAGTCATATTGCATGAACAGAAGCTGAAAATATGACTACAAGGGAGAAACAATCAATTTTTAAATGCACAAGAAATACCGTGTACACTCTGAACTCGAATTTTATTTTATAATTTTTTTTAGGTTGGGATTTTCTTCAAAGGGATTATAAATGATTCGCATTATTTTCTTTTCAATTACAGTATTTGAAAAATTTCCAAAACGAGCACGGAGTTTCCATATCATGAAAAAATATTTGATTCGCGAAGATGAAGCGCAACACAAATTCGAATCTCTATCAAACTATTCAGGGATTTTGGAAATCATCTCTTCAAGAATTGGCGTAGATACCGTATTTCAAGATTTTAGACTAAATCAGCATGCGTAGCTTTTACATTGGACAACGGTAAAATTGGACAACGAACTTCCTGATTCAATTTGCAATGTAGAAAAACCTATAAGAATATAACTTTAAATATACATTAGAAGTCTTGATTATTTCTTCGCGAAGCAAAGATTTTTTTAATGATATGGAAACTCGATCCATGCTCGTTTTGGAAATTTTTAACGTATTTTACTTCAAAAGAAAACATAGTAATGCGAATCGTTTATAATCCCTTCGAAGAAAATCTCAACCCAAAAAAATATCGGATTCTAATTGAACCTAAATATACTGAACGGCGTATTTCAATTTATAGATTTTATCGCGATTATTCGCCGTCATTCTGATCGAGTAACAGACTCGCTTTTTTTTTATAAGACGAATTCAAAATCCATGAAACTCAATTAAATTTTCGAATTATCAGCCACTTGAAGGTAATTAGGCGTTTACCATCTTTGAATTCGGCTCAAAAGGGGGGTTTTCTTCATATCTGTTTTAAAGGAATTGAGATGAAATATTCTCAAAAAGAAGGAAATCATTTCCTGAAAGAAGTTGAGATGTTAGTGTCTATTCTTTTCTCTGTCTGATTGATGAAAGAAGACGAGAGTTAATTGCTTCACGTGTTAAAGGAATTGAGATGAAATATTCTCAAAAAGAAGGAAATCATTTCCTGAAAGAAGTTGAGATGTTAGTGTCTATTCTTTTCTCTGTCTGATTGATGAAAGAAGACGAGAGTTAATTGCTTCACGTGTTCCGAAGAAAGATTTAATGTCGCGAACAGATGAGAGATGAGAGTCATAATCTGTCGTCTTCGCGTGCATTTTTCTCCGACTTGTCAGAATTACGCTACTTTCCTTTTCGTGGAAACGCTAGAAAAATGTCACTTTCAATTCGTTGGTTCCTGCAAAACATGCGATAATTTCACTAGAAACTGCTTCTCTTTCATGGGGCCTTTTTTTTGTGTGTGTCTGTGCTTCAAGTGTTACTTTTTTCCCCACTCTGAAGCAAAATTCGATCGCCTCTCGAACTTCATATCATCTTTTGTCGTGGTTAAGAAAAAGTTCATGTCGTGACGCGCAAAACTTTGTTTTATGAACGTTTTTCGTATAAATTGTGAAAGTTCGTGGGGAAAACGTCTATAGATTCGCGTGATTCGAAAAAATTATCCATGAAAATGTTCATCTCATGACGCGAGCATTTTACTTCCTTGATCATAAAACGCCGGTAAACATTAAACTTTTATTTTCTCAGACAACAAGAATCATTTCCTGAAAATCCCAAGATAAATTCTCAACTTCGTTCAGAATTGTTACGGAATTCCTGTTTGCTGGAAATCCCAGGAAACTACCGTTTTATTATTCAAATCAATTTTCTGAATTCCTGACGTTTGCGAGCTGAATTATACCTAACGTGGATGCTTTCAAAAAAATATATATACCACAAAGAAAAATACAGCAATATTTTTTCAATTTTTTATTTTTCCTTTGATTTTTTCATTTTTCGCATTTGTAACGATCCTACTTGAAATTCTTCCTCGTCGAAAGAAAGACGTTGAATGATTTACACATATTTCAGGCCACTTCAAAACCACAGCATTTTGCTTCTGAATTTCAGACGTCATCGATTCCAAGACTCGAACTACATTATTTTCTTGGTCAAAATCAGAAGAAAGTGTGTTTTAAATCCGAGTAAATGCTGGGATTTTTCTCGTAACTCGACCAACAACAAATGAAATCTTTGAAGACATGATGAGTGAGATTCAGTCTGACGTTTCGGTCGGAAATTTCGTCCAAATCTCCGCCATTATCTCGCATAACGTTGTTTCCTTACAGGTGTTGGGACGCATTCTTCGCTGTTTTCTTTGTCGTTCGTTTGAATAAAAAATTGTATTTAGCTAGGAAGAAGAGAGAAAAAAGGAAATGGGAATTAATTGGCCTGTGCCACGCGAGGCGTGTCTTGATCGATCGCGTCCCGTCGCGCGTGCGCAGGCCGGCGTGAATTTTCGGGCCTCGCTCCGATTTCCTCGCCGAAATCACGCCGAAAATCGCCCCAAAATCCTCTCCGTTTCCTTAAAAAAAAATAAAACTAAAAGAAATAATGCGGAAAAACTAGAGGAAGACGCGAGTTCCTTCGTTCCATCGCGCCCCGTTGCAAGACAATGAATCCCGTTGGAATCGTCGTGACATTACGGGCCTTTTCCACTGCGAGATTCTCGGATGTTGGAAGCATAGTTTTGGTGGTGATGATGATGATGATGATGATTATGATCGTGTTTATGGGCAATCTATTCCCCGAGGTTTCTTCGTAGGAAAAATCCACGTTATCTGATGCTCAAATAACCAACCGCGCCCTTATATAGAGATGCTAGCTGTTTTTGTTGAACTAGAATAAAGCATCCGGCAGTTTCTTTTAACATTTTCTAGAATTGCTTTCTAGCACGCGAAGCTTTCGGCATTAAACCATACTTTGGTGATTTAATTGTTTTAATATTTTCGGGTGATTTAATACGTTATTCGCATTGATCCTCTGATCCGTGAAAGAATAGACGAAAAGCCTTTCGTATATTTGGAGAAAGAGGGCAAAGAAAACGATTCGGATCAGTTATTAAAATGAAAGGAATAATAAAGAAAAGAAAGCAAATACTTTTTCGAAGTGGAGCATTCATAAATGTCGGTTTCAATATTCTGTGCACGTTTCATCTGAACGTTGATTTCTCCAGCATATTTTTTTTTACAGTTTTGCAATAATCAATCAAACTTGAAAAGAGTTATTCAATGTAGGACCTCTCAAAGACTCTCTTCCATGAAAGTGTTGCCATTTATCTCATTCAAAAGCCAGAAATTAACTTTGGATTCATTGAAAGTTTTGCCAGAAAAAGGTTGCTTTTCTTGAGGAAAAAAAAAAGTTTTGCCTTGAACTTGAACATCAAACAAGCACATTACAAGAACATTTGTGCAATTGTACATTGTGGAATGTATTTTCTTTTATTTTAGTATCCATATACAGCTTAATTCTCTGTTTCCCATTTTGAAGAGATTGAATGCGTTTGAATGGATTTGGGTTGGGTGGGGATGGGGTTTGGATTTGGGAATGTTGATTGAACCTTGTGAAGGCTAAAAAGCAGAAAATAAAGCTTTCTGTTTATTCATTCATACAAGAACGGAGTCTCCAATTGTTAGCTTAAATTAAGCAAATTCAAGTTGGTTTACAATAGTAAAGACTAAAGATTGTAGTAGAATCAGATTTTTTAAATTGTACTAGGTCACATTTAAAATGCAGGAAATTTTGTGAATTATATTTATTTTTCCTTTCCAAAAATGTTTGTACAGTATTCTAAATAACCGTCAGAATGAAAATATCGACGAAATTTGTATTTTATAGTCCATATAAATTTTTGAATGATCACTTGATGATTATTAGGGCTCAAATCTGTCCTTCAAACCACCGGAATATTTCCGGCATCAAGAAAGGAAATTCATATTTTTTTTATTAAAAAATGTTCAACACCGGAATTTCAAATTTCACATGCATGACTACGGGATGTGAAATTCAATGTGCAATCTCAATCTTCCGTCACAGCTTTCACACCTTCGTCAAAGAAAAGTTTTGAAACCTGACGATTTTCAATCCTAACTCGAAGGCTTGCGGAAGTACCTTTGAATTCATCACAAAAATTGAAGACATAAAATTGAGTGTTTTCAGCTCAGAACTGGAATTAAGGAAGCAATGACCAGCGATTTCCATCTCTATGTATTCCAAATAATATTGTATTATGAAAATAAAGTTTACATTATTCATTCATACCAAAAAGGATAAATATTCAGCTTGCAGAGACAAAGGATCGAATTTCTCAAGAACACTTTGAATTCAATTTTTTATAAATTCTCGCCCAAGTCGAATCATAGGATGTTGAACTCAGGATAAGGTTCCAAGGTCTTGAAATTATACCTTTGGAGCAAAAATATAAATTTACAATGGATGAGAAAAATGTTCCATTATTTCCCAGAAAATTTTATTTTTTGGAAAATATTCCGTTTTGTAATTTTAAGACCAGATGAAACAGTCATGTTCGGATCATCAAAAACAGACAGAAACTCATTTAGCACCACCTATAATGGCAAACATTTTTGCGCACTGTAGACTCATGCACCTATATTGTGATCAAGGATCACAAAATAATAAAAATGAAAAGGCAGGCAATCAGCCTTTTGAAGGCCATGAACACATATTCAAGGGGTTTCCTTGAATATATGTTCCTAGTTTTTTCAATAATTTATTTTATGATCAAGTTGAATGCAAAGAATAAGAATACAATGCACAAGACGGATTTGAATAATAGCGCAGGAGTAAAAGATCTGTGCACACAAATCACCAGGAATGAAAGGATAATTGTTGTTGAGAGTTTAGGACAGACTGAGATTCTTAAAATCGAATTATTTGTACTGTAGTTTTGATTGAGGAGGGAAACATTCATTGGTTTCCTCTCTCGTTTTCTCCTCAACACATATCATCATCAGAAGTCAGATTTAGACTGTGTTCAATTCAGAACGTTGCCAGAACAAAGCAGGAAATGATATTTTCACACCTAATTTCCCTCTACGAAAGCTGTTAATCCATTTTGAAGTCCACGGACTCGCGGAAATGCCTTCGGATTAATCACAGGTTCCAAGACCACGCACCCAAAAAAAAAACAAAAAAAAAGAAATAGTATTTTCTAGGGCGAAAACGGAAATACGGACGTAATGAATGCGTAGGACGCGTGCCCATGAAAATTATCCGACGCAGCGACGCGTTGCTGCATGCGCGGAGACTCGAGGGACTCGTCGTCGTCTAAAAATATTATGTATTCGAAGAGATAAACCCAGGGCTTGATTCCTTCTTTATTTTTTTCCTTTTCGTTATTTAAAATATGGTTTCTGTATCATTAATTTTTTTTTTTTGGGCAGGCAGGAAATGCGGACGAATTTCCGTTGTGCGCGAGCACATTATAGTCGGTCACCCCCTTATTGTGATATGCCTGGATGAAGGCGCTTCCACCATCGGGGTGTTTTTCGTCCCAGAATTTCGGATCAAGTGGCAAGTTCCACGTACTCGTCACTTCATGATATTTATTCTGCCGAAATCCGAAGCAAAAAAAAATCGCGAATTTTCGGTGAAGTTGTGGAAAATTTTTGTAGCCGAGTCGAGTTGACATTTGGAAAATATTGCAGTTTCGAATCATGTCTTCGGCTTGATCGAAATGATATAGGATCGATGACCGGAGTTCTGTTCGTATTATTGCTCATAAGCTTTGGTTTTACAGTTTTTTTAAATCTTTCGAGCCACGTTTTCGAAGTATTGTATCATTCTAGCGATGAATTGAAATCTTCAGCGCGACTGATGATTTCCCGTTTTCCCGAAAGGCGTGGGAAAGTTTCCAACACAAATGCTCTTGGTTTATAGCGAGAATGAAG